TGACCAATAATCAGGGAAGTTGGGAGCTGATAGTCCAACAATATGTAGAGAGCCAAATGCCATCCCTGTGTATCTGCAGCCCTGGCACAACTAAGCCTTTTCTACAGCAGCATAATTTTGTGAGTGCTCCCTTATCTCTGTATCTTTCAAGTAACATCCATTACTTCTAAATATTACTTGCAGGTTAGTATGGGTTCAGCCAGGATTTACTTGCGGGGGGCAGGGGGTAGGCCTTATGTTGGTCAGCTAGTTAAGTATTTTTATTTATTTACTTGATTTTTGGGGGGGCAGCTGCCTCCCTGCCCCCCCAGCTATGCCCATGGGTTAGACTGCAGCACACACATACCAGATAAGTCACTTCCGATATAAGATGCATGTAAATAGCAGTTGCAGTGGTACCTCGGGTTAAGAACTGAATTCATTCTGGAGGTCCATTCTTAACCTGAAACTGTTCTTAACCTGAGGTACCACTTTAGCTAATGGGGCCTCCCGCTGCCACCATGCTGCCGGAGCACGATTTCTGTTCTCATCCTGAAGCAAAGTTCTTAACCCGAGGTACTATTTCTGGGTTAGCGGAGTCTGTAACCTGAAGCGTCTGTAACCTGAAGCCTCTGCAACCTGAGGTACCACTGTATATTATTATAATGTGCTCACTGAGGGAGAAAGCAGCATCTTTCGCTGTAGAGTTTAAGAGATAACTGTTCTAAAAGGCTCAGTGGGGCCTCATAAGTGAAAGCTATTTCCCCAAAGTAATGATGGATCCAACAGAAAAATAAGGTACAGAGTTACTTAATAGCATGACAGAAAAACACCCCCCTTGACTTATCATAAAACCTTCATTTCTGGCAGCCATTACCACCTCTACCTGCATCCCTGAAGCCTTTTCACTAGAACAGAACGTGCTGCCCTAGACCAGAGAAAGTACTTCAGAGTCAGTGTAACTGTGAAAATTAAATTGAAGAAAATGAGTGGTTTCTTCCCCCCGCCCCCCACCAGCAGATACTGAAGAGCACTAACTTTTAAAATCTAACACACATTTGAAGATTATTCACATAAAAAGAATCATCATCATTTGGTAAAGCATAAGACTCTTAATCTCAGGGCTGTTGGTTTGAGTTCTACGTTGGGCAAAAGATTCAGGCATTGCAGGGGGTGGGACTACATGACCCTTGCGGTCCCTTCCAACGCTACAATTCTGTGAGTCTACCATCATCATTGCTAGGAGCATGGAAAAGCATTATTGATCCAGAGTTCAAGGCATCAATCCCTAAAGAGACCTCTGTTTGGGCAAAGTACTATCAATTCAAAATAAACATCTATCTGTTACATACTCTCGTAGAACCATAGAGTTGGAAGGGACCCCAGTCCAGCCCTGCTGCAATGCAGGAATCACAGCTAAAATGCCTTTAAAAATGCCATGTCTTTTCATTTTAAAGACATGACCATCTGGAAAAATGAAGATTTAACAGTTAAGGTAATGCTGAAGAACAAAGCCTTTTTTCCCTAGAAAACTAGGTTTTGTGACTGCATGAAGAGAATACTTTCAGAGTTCCATGCAACGGATGGAGTAAATAATTGAGGTAAATAACAGTGTTTATTTTTAATTGACTTGGGTGTGGGTGTGGGTGTGGGTGTTGTTGGCATCCCTTTGTCTTGAGAAACAGTGGAGTATGCCACTGGGGGGTGAAGTCAAACCACTGCATTAGCAGCACGAAATTGATCTCCTGGGGCACAAGCCTGGGCAGCATATATGGAGGTCCTGGGCTACCCAGATGACAAGACTCACTCTTGGTCTCGCTGATGTGGTCCAAAAGAAAGCAGAGCAATATGTTTGGCATCAGCTTGGTTCCTGGAAGGAGGCGTACAAGGCACCATTCAACCGACGCCCCTCCTGATTTGTGTAGAGTTTACTCTGAAGATGTCCCACAAGGCAGCTGAGGTTTAGGGTCAGAGTTTTCCTTCTCCTTGATGGGCTACCTGCCTATGTTGATGAGCCCCATCTGCCCTTCACTTCCCTCTACAGCACATGCAGAAACGTCCTTCTTGACCCTTGGATCCACTATTAGTCTTGTCTGCTCAATCTGCCAGAGCCAGTCAAGTCAGTCATTCATATTCATATGAATGTTATATCTATAGCTATATCTATACAGTGGAACCTCAAGCTGCGAACGTGATCCGTGTGGGAGGCACATTCGCAACCTGCAGCACCGCATCTGCACACGCGCGGGTCGCGATTCGGTACTTCCGGGTTCAGTGCGGTGCGCAACTCGAAACTGCATAACCTGAAGCATCTGTAACCTGAGGTACCACTGTATCTGTATCTATCTATCTAACTATCTATCTATCATCTATCACCTCACAATGAATATAAACTATGATGGAAAGTCAGGGTATTCCTTTTAATGTATGGATAGTATAGTCCACAGGGATAAAGTGGATTTTCTGGCTGTGTTCAGACATGTGGGGAAATTTTTATATAAAAACTCCATAGAGTAAGAGTACACGGAGCTCTTTTCTGTGATTAGATGTTATCCTAGCAAGCCACACACAGATCACTCATGTTCTGAGCCTGCTGATGCTCTGCTTATCTCCCTGCAAGATTCATGATGGGTGAGGAATCACAAACTCAGCATAGTGCAGTCCACACACACAGAGGGAGGGGGGAGGGAGGGAGGGAGGGAGAGAACAGCATTGATGCAATAGATTCCATTCCAAATGCAGTCTTTCTTTCCCAAGTTGTTCCACCGGCAATTATGGTTTAAACAGTGAAACTCCAAAGCCAGGAACATGGAGAGATCCCAAGCAACTGTGCCTTTATTTGCTAACTTCCAAATTAAAGAGAACAGTTCCCAGCATCTTATACTAGTCTGACATCTTTCCTAAGCAGCCATTTCTTAATTATCTGGTGTTAGCTAAATTGATTCTAATTAAACAGAATACTGTCCTGATTAAAGAGCAGTAATTATCTCTCTGTGTCATTAGGCAAAATCAGTTTTACAAATGTTTGTAGCTCTTTAAAAAAAAAACTTTATCCCTTGGAGATCACCCAATAAGATCAGATGGATGTCCCAAGTCAAGTCTGTTCGGTGTGACTCACTGTAAGAATGCTGTTAAGCTTCCTTCACTTTCCTGAGTAGCAAGAAGCGCAAGGACAATGCTGAAGCGTGTACCGTAGTTCCCTTTGGAGGGGGGAGGGAGTAGTAGAGACCTATGAGATCTTTCTAATAACTGTGTTTCTTTTACAAATAAGTGTAGTGCATAGTGGAAGCAAACAAACACAATGCAGAACCACTTGCGCTACATCAGGCATAGGCAAACTCGGCCCTCCAGATGTTTTGGGACTACAACTCCCATGATCCCTAGCTAACAGGACCAGTGGTCAGGGATGATGGGAATTGTAATCCCAAAACATCTGGAGGGTTTGCCTATGCCTGCACTACATCATACCCCCCAAAACAACAAGGAGCCTGGCAGAGATAAAGTGAGCTTTTAAAACAGAATTTGACTTGCACCGCCTGTTTTGCCAGTGTAACTTACAGGTTACTAGGTTAGGCAGTTTGGAATTGGGTTAAACCTCCCCTTGCCCTGTCCCACCCCCACCACAACCCTAAAATACCCCCTTTTAAAGACTTATCACAGCCTTGGCTCAGCCAACTGAGCCCTGTCTGAGCCAGGATGGAGGACTAACACTATCTCTGACTGAGCCACAATGAGGGACTTCAGCCCGTATAGCCTTGGCTGAGGCAGGCTCAGTCAGAGATTGACCTCTTCCAAACCCCTTTCATCACAGCAGATCTTGGAGTCCATTTATTTCTATTTTATGTCTTCGTCAGATACAGCCTTATAAGTCTGTGCATTAATTCACTGATTCATCTCCAAAACCTGTTTCCCCTTCTCTTGTAGTAGCCTCTCCCTCCCTTGGCCACTGTTATTTCAGATTGATTTTCACTCATAATACTGCTTAGGCTTCTTTTTGAAATTAGTATAGGAACCCCACCCCCAAACCAGTCCAGTTCTGGTCTTTCAAGAATATTCTCATGCCGTGTGTGTGTGTGTGTGTGTGTGTGTGTGTGTGTTCATTTTAAAAAGAGGCACACTGCTCCATATACCATTCCTGAGAGGAAGACGAGTCCTGTCACTACCATGTGGGAATACTGAGGAGAAATATTTTCCACTGACATAGCATCTTACAGCAGGCAGTGCTGGTCTGCTTTATAGACACCGGCAAATTTATCCTCACTGAAGCAGGCGAGCATTTCTCATCTGGGTCTCACAGCTTGTCAAGTCTGGAGTTGGCAAGTTTTGCTTGCTGTAACTAACAGAAATGTTGCCTCATGGACCAATCATTCTCATTCAGGAACTTCTGAGTAATGCAATATTAGGGGTAAAAGGGACTTGAAGTCTATGATATGTAGATAGATAGGTAGACAGATAGATAGATAAATAAATATAGGTGGGTGGCATAAGACCTTGTCCATGGAAGCCCCATGGAAATCGATGACAGGTTGTCTTCTGTAATCAGCAGAGGAGACGCTGATCTGCGTCCGCCATTTTACAAATGGATCCAGCTGGGGGTTCTGTTTTCTCCTTTGTAATCCAACAGAAGGCAAAAATAAAACTCCAAAATAAAGGAATCCATCTTCTCACCTCCATATATTAGATCTGGAGGAGGGTTGAGGAGCCTGGCGAGCTTTTGCCAGATGTTGTTGGGCCCCGTTCCTGCCACTCACCACCTGGCCAGGGCGGGGCCTGACAGGCCTCATAAGGACAGTTGCTGCTGCTGCTACCCAGGAGAACTCAGAACAGCACACAGTTCTTTTTAAAACGTTTTTCTTTTTTACCTTTTAAAATTCTTTTTGGTGTGGGTGTGGGATGAATGTTTAGTCGGGTTTGGGAATTTGTTTAATTTTGGTATGTTTGTAATTTTTACTGTTTTTGGTTTTTGGTTTATTGTGGTTTATTGGTTTTTGGTTTATCTGTTATTGGGTTTTTTTGTTTTTATATAGGTTTTATTTTGTTCTTAAGGGGAGGTGTCAGCGCTGCCTGGGAGTGGGTCCCAGCCAACAAAATGGCTGGGGCATGTTCCACTGGGGGAATGCACTGAGACAACCAATCTCAGTGATCACGGGTAGGAGGAGGAGTTACACGAAGACCAGACCATGTCATTACCGAGGAGGCAGGTTTAGTCGTTGTTTGAAGACTATTCGTGCGTCCGGGTCTGGTCCTGAACGGACGGATACTAGAATCAGCAAGGGATACCCACATGACCTGAAGGTGCTGCTGTGCAATGCCAAGTCAATGATTCATAAGACCACTGCCCTCCATGACTTGATCGTGGGTGGAGGACTTGACCTGGTATGTGTAACAGAGACTTGGTTGGATGAAGCAGATGGGCCTGTCCTTGCTGCTGCTTGTCCACCAGGTTTCTCTTACACACAGCAACCCAGGCCTTGTAGGCGGGGAGAGGGGCTTGCAGTGATTTTTAGGAAGACATTAGTTTGCACCAGGCGTCCTATTGGGAAGACCCAGTTCTCTGAGTGCATGTTCTGGAAGTTGGGCAATAGGGGCAGTACAGGATTCCTTTTGGTGTACCGACCTCCCCGCTGCACCAAGGATTCCTTGCCCAAGCTGCTTCAGGTCGTGGCGGATGATCTCCTGGAGACGATTAGTTTGGTTGTCCTAGGGGATTTTAACATCCACGCCGACACGCCCTTACAAGGGGCCGCTCAGGACTTCGTGGAAAGCATGTCCTCCAGGGGCTGTCCCTGAATAAGTCTGGCCCAACTCATAGCCGTGGACATGCCTTAGACCTGGTGTTCACTTCTATGGATGTTGGTGATCACTAAGTAAAAGACTTTCTTCACCGCCTCTATTGTATCTGCAGAAAACAGCAGCAGGATACTCTTTCAGGTGGTTCACAATTTAGCGGAACCACCTGTTCCATCAGGGCCCAGTATGGGCCACATGATCTCCTGCAATGATTTTGCAAAGTTTTTTTGCTGATAAAGTCGCTCAGATTTGGGAAGAGGTAAACTCCACCATGGGAGCAGGGCCGGGGCAAGAGAGTGCTAGAGTCCTGTCTAGTCAAGTTGCATGGGATCAATTCCAATCTGTTACCTCTGAGGATGTGGACAGACTGCTTGGACGAGTGAAACCAATCACCTGTCTTCTTGATCCTTGCCCATCCTGGTTTATAAAAGCTAGCTGGGAAGGGCTGGGCGATTGGCTTCACGGGGTGGTGAATGCTTCTCTCTGTGAGGGAGCCTTCCCAGACCCGCTGAAAGAGGCGGTTATCAAACCACTTCTTTAAAAAACATCTTTAGATGTGGCCAATATGGCCAACTATTGCCCAGTCTCAATTCTTCCATTCTTGGGCAAGGTGATTGAGTGAGTGGTTGCTGAACAGGCCTGGAAGAAGCAGACCATTTGGATCCCTTCCAGTCAGGATTCAGGCCTCATCATGGGACTGAAACTGCCTTGGTCGCACTGGCTGATGATCTCCAGCGGGCTAGGGACAAAGGTGAGAGCTGTTTCCTAGTTCTGCTGGATCTCTCAGCGGCTTTTGATACCATTGACCATAACATCCTTCTGGACCGTCTAGAGGGGCTGGGAGCTGGGGGCACTGTTATACAGTGGTTCCGTTCCTTCCTCCTGGGCCATGTTCAGAAAGTGGTGGGGGGGGGATGAGTGTTCAGACCCCTGGGCTCTCACTTGTGGGGTGCCTCAGGGTTATGTCCTCTCCCCCATGCTTTTCAACATCTACATGCAGCCGCTGGGAGAGATCATCAGGGGATTTCGGCTGGATGTTCATCAGTATGTGGAGGATACCCAACCCAAATCAGAACCAGTGAAGGAAATGAAGGTTCTGTGTGAGTGTCTGGAGGCAGTTGGAGGATGTGGTTGATTCCTGACAAGACAGAAGTACTGTTTTGGGGGGACAGGAGGCAGGCAGGTGTGGAGGACTCCCTGGTCCTGAATCCCCAGGTAACTGTGCCCCTGAAGGACCAGCTGCGCAGCCTGGGTGTCATTTTGGACTCACAGCTGTCCATGGAGGCACAGGTCAATTCTGTGTCCAGGGCAGCTGTTTATCAGCTCCATCTGGTACGCAGGCTGAGACCCTACCTGCCCGCAGACTGTCTCGCCAGAGTGGTACATGCTCTGTTTATCTCTTGCTTGGACTACTGCAATGCGCTCTACGTGGGGCTACCTTTGAAGGTGACCCGGAAACTACAACTAATCCAGAATGCGGCAGCTAGACTGGTGACTGGGAGTGGCCACTGAGACCACATAACACCAGTCTTGAAAGACCTATATTGACTCCCAGTACGTTGCCGAGCACAATTCAGAGTGTTGGTGCTGACCTTTAAAGCCCTAAACGGCCTTGGTCCAGTATCCCTGAAGGAGCGTCTCCACCCCCATCGTTCTGCCTGGACACTGAGGACCAGCGCCGAGGGCCTTCTGGTGGTTTCCTCACTGCGAGAAGCCAAGTTACAGGGAACCAGGCAGAGGGCCTTCTCGGTAGAGTCACCTGCCCTGTGGAACGCCCTTCCACCAGATGTCAAAGAGAAAAACAACTACCAGACCTTTAGAAGATATCTGAAGGCAGCCCAGTTTAGGGAAGCTTTTAATGTTTAACAGATTATTGTATTTTAATATTTTGTTGGAAGCTGCCCAGAGTGGCTGAGGAAACACAGTCAGATGGGCGGGGTATAAATATTACTACTACTACTACTACTACTACTACTACTACTATACAACTCCTATCACCCCCTCAGTGTCAGAGTCCAACAACATCTGGAGAGTCACTGGTTTCCCATCCCTGATCCCGAGTATGAAAGCAAAGTTCTGTTGACTAAGATTACCAGGGAAAGGGTTTCCTTAACTCTTGAACAAAAAACCTCCACATCTGTCATACTCTCTTCTGTTGTCAGTAACTTTGAGAGGCAAAAGTGAGATTAAAATGTGAATATGGAAAAGCTTCCTGAATCTAATAGGCCAATGATGACGCATTATTATACCAATCTCATCATAAAACATCTTACATAAATATGTCTAGCTCAGGATTGCAGCGAATGAGGTTTGTTACACGCAAGACAACTATAGGGCGAGTACTTAGAAATCTTGTATGTCATCAGTGCACTTAACTTACCATGAATCACGCCGTATACATTACCAAATTGCACAAGTGCTCAAATGCATCACTGCTGTCTAGCTGCATACATGCATCCCAAGAGTGTTTTTTCCCTTATGCCTGGCAGAAGGCAATGCCTCCCCCAAGCACTGATCGGTTCATGCAACACTGCTGTGCCCAGCAGTTTATATATGTTCTGATTGCATTAGCAATTCCAGAATCACTTCTCTTTCTCCCCGTGCCATGAGCCTCGCTGACACTCTCACCGAAAAAGAACAAAATGTGAGAGATGGCACTGAGTTCCAATATTCAGAGGAAAACTAAAGCTCTACATTGAGGCCCTGGAACTGGCAATTCTACCCCCATAACAAACAGAATCCTGCCACCCCCACCCTCCTCCAGATGATTCTCTGGGATCTTTCTTTTCCTCCAAAAGTCTGCTACAGAATCCCTAACGAATGCTTTCCTAATCTGTCATTTGTAAATCATGGTAAATGTCCTGAGAATTCAATTCTTATTTGTTCACTGCAATAGCCATAAATAAAACCACACTTGGAACCCAGAGCTGACAAGCTGGCTTTATTTACAGCCTGTCAGACATATCTCAGTATATCTTAAGCTTTCTCAAATCTTTCTTGATGCAAGATTTGCATCTCAATTGTTGTTATTTTCCACCTTCTTCTCTGCAGACATCTAGTTGTGACCAAACATTGCCAATCCTTTCCCTAACAAGTTACCGGTAGCTGAAATCTGACCATCTGCCTCATCTCACAAACATTTTGCTTATGTAAACCTAAACCATTTCAGTTGTTCTCTCCTTTGCAAAGGCCTTTCCCAACTGCTTTTCCTTTGCCTTCTCACACTAAGTATTACATGGTCAGCAATTAGGGTTGCCAGCTTTTGATCTCAAAATTACTACTGTGGCTCTGGGTGGAAGTTAGGAGGCCGGGACAGAGCCTGTCAGCTCAGGGACTGGGTTTGATGGCTCAGGGATGGAGTCTGGCACAAGCCTTGCATCTTGAGGTCAGCATCGTCAGGCACAGATTGGGGCCCATGCAATGGCTCACTACCAATCATAGGCCCTGGATGCTATTGCAGAATAACAGCTTCATCTCCTCCATGCTATTGTCATGTTCTTTGCCCAGCCAAATCTCTCCCTCTCCAAGTTTCTCTGGACTCAGTATGTCCAATAGTTGCAGTTTCTCCTCTTCTTTTCCACCAGCCTCCATTGACTGCAGGGAAAGGGAGAAGGCTGTGAGCAATTTGGCAGCTCCTTCAAGGAGGATGAGCACCAGTGTCTGCAGATGTGCCACTGTCCACAGATGTGCCCCATTTCCACCTTAGAGTCCCTGTCTCATCAGCAAAGGACAGGCAGCTGTCCAAAGGCAGATGTGTAGCATGGTTGCTGACGTAGCAGGGGAGCTGTCCAGTGGAGACACACCCCTTTCGAGAATATCTACAAGGCCCTTATCCAGAGCATGCATTGGCTCGTGTTTCCTTAGCAAAACAACCCTGTCCAGTGAAAATAAATCAATGATCCAAGCCAAAGAAAATAAAACACAGAAGTGAAAGATAGCACACAGCAAAGAAACCTCTACTATAATTGGTTCACCAGTCAGAACAGTGTCCCAAGAACGAGTTATGGGTATGGATGGGGGTAGAAGCATGCAGAGTGATACCCAAAGGTTGGCAAACATGCAAGCACTTAAAAAATAATAATTTTGAAATATGAGCTTAATGACAGGGTTCTGTCCTCTCCCCCATACTTTTCAACATTTACATGCAGCCACTGGGAGAGATCATCAGGAGGTTTGGGCTGGGTGTTCATCAGTATGCGGATGATACCCAGCTCTACCTCTCTTCTAAATCAGAACCAGTGAAGGCGGTGAAGGTCCTGTGTGAGTGTCTGGAGGCGATTGGAGGATGGATGGCGGCTAACAGATTGAGGTTGAATCCTGACAAGACAGAAGTACTGTTTTTGGGGGACAGGAGGCGGGCAGGTGTGGAGGATTCCCTGGTCCTGAATAGGGTAACTGTGCCCCTGAAGGACCAGGTGCACAGCCTGGGAGTCATTTTGGACTCACAGCTGTCCATGGAGGCACAGGTCAAATCTGTATCCAGGGCAGCTGTTTACCAGCTCCATCTGGTACGTAGGCTGAGACCCTATCTGCCTGCAGACTGTCTCGCCTGGTGACTGGGAGTGGCCACTGAGACCACATAACACCAGTCTTGAAAGACCTACATTGGCTCCCAGTACGTTTCCGAGCACAATTCAAAGTGTTGGTGCTGACCTTTAAAGCCCTAAACGGCCTCGGTCCAGTATATCTGAAGGAGCGTCTCCACCCCCATTGTTCTGCCCGGACACTGAGGTCCAGCTCCGAGGGCCTTCTGGCGGTTCCCTCACTGCGAGAGGCCAAGTTACAGGGAACCAGGCAGAGGGCCTTCTCGGTAGTGGCGCCCGCCCTGTGGAACGCCCTCCCATCAGATGTCAAAGCGATAAACAACTACCTGACATTCAGAAGACATCTGAAGGCAGCCCTGTTCAGGGAAGTTTTTAATATGTGACATTTTAGTGTATTTTTCATCTTTGTTGGAAGCCGCCCAGAGTGGCTGGAGAAACCCAGCCAGATGGGCAGGGTACAAATAAATTATTATTATTATTATTATTATTATTATTATTATTATTATTATTATTATTATTATAAATGTCTATTGGGTTAGGTTTTTCCCAATTATTATGTGCTGATTAGTTTTAAAATATCATTTGGACAACACCACGTTCCACAAGCAGAAATCGAGAAACTGCAGGAGTTCATCACTCAAGCCTGTCTCTTGCATAATTCAGTCATGATACAACCCTACTTTTTTCCATTTTTAGCTTAGATTAGGATGAGGTGACAGCTTTACAAAAAAAATAAAAAAATAAAAATCAAGCAAGGTAAGCCTGAACGGCTGAAGTTTCTGACTACAGCCACACATTATGAAGGGTCTCCCCCCCCCCAAAAAATATAAACCAAGTTAATATACTAGGTATTTGGTCCCTGCCAACCGTATGATTCTATAAAGCAGAGGCTATATGGTCACTTATCAAATGTGCTGAAGTAAGTGGTTTCCTGGGAGCAGGTTGGATTAGATGATCATATGAAGTCCTTCCAACTCTCTCTTTCTCTATCAAATGAAATTTGTGGGGCAGGGAATGAAAAACCAAGTGGTTCAAGTTTTGAAGGACTTGTGAGGAAATAATACATGACCTTCTGGGGAGCTACCTTGCTGCAGTGACGTCCATTGAATGCTTTCATCAGAATCAACTTTAACCAACTGGCTAACTTTTTTGCATTTTGATTTGGGGTTGTTTAGGAGTATTTGGCAACATTAAGTCATAGCACATTGATTCTGGTTCTTGACTAGCTGAATCAATCTGTCTCATGAGGCTAGGAGATTTAAGAGAAGGCATTTTTATAGGAGAGTTGTATGATCTGAGCCCATAGGGGACCCATTAAACAGTATCTTCGCAATTCACTCTGCTACACAGTCATTTGTCACTCCCTCATCTATCCAAGGGCTTAAGAGGGTAGCCTATTAATTATAGCTGCCTTTTTTCGGCAGAAAGAAACAAAACAAATCCAGACTTTCTGGTTCATGCAATGACAAATTTGCTATTAGTGTAGTGTCTGTGACAACCTGGGCTTGCCTGGTGAACATTTAAAAACACTGTGAGTGCTGTGCTTTCGTATGATGTATTTTTGAAATATATTTCAATAATTAAAAATAATGGATTCATTCCCAAGTGTCAGCCTTGACACAAAGAGTAGATTAGACGTTGATGATAAATGTGTGCCTTGCTATATTTGAAACGCATCATTTTTCAAGTAAAGTTATAATTGAATTACAATTGCGTGGGCACAGAACAATAACTAATTAACATTTAGATTTCAACTCGCTAATTAGCATTTACATTTTCAACATACCAAGCCTTGATTTTCAGACATGCAGAAGGTAACCCGTAATGTAGCTGCTTACGTGCACACTAAGCTCCCATGAGCAAAGTTGAAGGTTTCCAAAACCTCAGTGATCCTCGGAATTAATTAGTTTCTACCAGTGAGCTTCCTACAATTGTATCCAATATCCTAACTTCTCATTATTGAAATATTGCACAGAAGAAGTCAGGGATAGAAATAAGATAAGCTTCATCCTTATATCTTTTGGGAAGCCCAATCCAAAACAGCCAAACAGATACAAGATAAAGCAATATTGATTTGAGGCACATTCCCTGTTCCTCCAAGCATGCTTAAAATTATGCATGAGGTGCAGGAAAAAAAGACAGATAATATGACAGGATCCTGGGGCCATCCAAGGAAGCTAAATGTTGGCTGGTTCAGTACAAACAAGAGAAAATGCTCCTTCACACACCATACTGTATAGTTGAACTATGGAATTTGCTACCACAAAGGCCATGAACTTGGACAGCTTTAAAGGAGGGATTAGACAAATTCATTGATGATAAGAATACCTGTGCTACTAGATACCTGCAAGATTGCTTTACCTCACATGTGCCCACTTGACCACTTCGATCCACAGCATTGGCAGCACTACAGGTGCCACATAATACCCATTTCCACTTTGGAACTCCCTGCAACAGGTAAACTGCCATGAAACTTAAGTCTTACTTCTTGAAACAAAGCCTGAAGGACTTCAGATTCCAAGAGTTAAAATTCTGAACAGTCAGAACTATCTAGTGTACGTCCACTCAAAGGCAAGTGCCGCTGAATTCAGCATAGCTTCTTTCTAAGCAAGTTGGGTATAGGATTGCTGCCAATGTCACCTGGGAAAAAACAGCATTTTATTTTCAAGGGCATGCCCCTTTCGGAGGACGCAAAGCCTTTCATCTGGTTTCAAACCACATTCTGATCCAGCACTCCGGCAAACTCACACAGATGCTTATCACTGATTCCTTATGATTAAAGTTCTCCATCGCTGCGACTGCCACTTCTTGCCAAGCTATTCCAACAAATGAATGCTTCAGTTTTAAAATGTGAAACAAAGGAAAATGTGCCACTGGGGAAATGAGGCAGTGATGTATAGGACTGCAGAACTGCAGTTATCTTCAATTCTATTAGGATGCAATATACCAAAAAAAAAACCTTTAATAATCCCCCCCCCACGCATATATTGCCATCACAGGAGGTAAAGTTATTTCCTGGCTTTGGTGGAGAAATAGATGACAATGCAGAACTTCACATTTTAGTGTTTATATCACAAGAAAGAATAATTACAGTATATTTTGTGTTTTAAAAGCTGAAATTGCATCTCAAAGTCTTTCCCACTTTGTATGCTACCGAGGTTGTCTAACAACCTCCAGTGAGCAAGTGCATTTCACACTCCGGGAAGCTGAAGAGTGTCAAGGTGGTCCATTGTCCTTTCTGAACAACAACCAAAAACAGCTCAGGAAAGTGCTGGCTAACCTTAATAGAAATTTGAATGCCATTGCTGTATTCAAAACACACTCTCTCTCTATCACTGAATAAGAAGCATACAAAGTAATAGCTCTTGTTCAGAGCACCTTGCATCACAACAGAAGACTACAAACATGCAAGCATCTCTCCACCTGGGCGATAACACCTCTGATGCTGTTGGCCAGGAACACACCTTGCACATCACCTGATTCACCACCCCTACCACCACACCAACTACAGCCCAAAGCTAACACTGTAGACTCACCTGTGCAGTGCTTAATGCCAATTACCCAGTATTAGAAGAGCCCTGCTGGATAAAACCAAAGGTCTACCTCATAGAATCATAGAATCATAGAGTTGGAAGAGACCACAAGGGCCATCGAGTCCAACCCCCTGCCAAGCAGGAAACACCATCAGAGCACTCCTGACATATGGTTGTCAAGCCTCTGCTTAAAGACCTCCAAAGAAGGAGACTCCACCACACTCCTTGGCAGCAAATTCCACTGTCGAACAGCTCTTACTGTCAGGAAGTTCTTCCTAATGTTTAGGTGGAATCTTCTTTCTTGTAGTTTGGATCCATTGCTCCGTGTCCGCTTCTCTGGAGCAGCAGAAAACAACCTTTCTCCCTCCTCTATGTGACATCCTTTTATATATTTGAACATGGCTATCATATCACCCCTTAACCTCCTCTTCTCCAGGCTAAACATGCCCAGCTCCCTTAGCCGTTCCTCATAAGGCATCGTTTCCAGGCCTTTGACCATTTTGGTTGCCCTCCTCTGGACACGTTCCAGTTTGTCAGTGTCCTTCTTGAACTGTGGTGCCCAGAACTGGACACAGTACTCCAGGTGAGGTCTGACCAGAGCAGAATACAGTGGCACTATTACTTCCCTTGATCTAGATGCTATACTCCTATTGATGCAGCCCAGAATTGCATTGGCTTTTTAGCTGCCGCGTCACACTGTTGGCTCATGTCAAGTTTGTGGTCAACCAAGACTCCTAGATCCTTTTCACATGTACTGCTCTCAAGCCAGGTGTCACCCATCTTGTATTTGTGCCTCTCATTTTTTTGCCCAAGTGCAATACTTTACATTTCTCCCTGTTAAAATTCATCTTGTTTGTTTTGGCCCAGTTCTCTAATCTGTCAAGGTCGTTTTGAAGTGTGATCCTGTCCTCTGGGGTGTTAGCCACCCCTCCCAGTTTGGTGTCATCTGCAAATTTGATCAGGATGCCCTTGAGTCCATCATCCAAGTCGTTGATAAAGATGTTGAATAAGACCGGGCCCAAGACAGAACCCTGTGGCACCCCACTAGTCACTCTTCTCCAGGATGAAGAGGAACCATTGATGAGCACCCTTTGGGTTCGGTCAGTCAGCCAGTTACAAATCCACTGAGTGGTAGCATAGTCAAGACCACATTTTACCAGCTTCTTTACAAGAATATCATGGGGCACCTTGT